TCAGTGCGCATCATAGCATCTGGTCATTCCGCTGTTCAGTCAATTTGCATATTACCCTTTTATTATAGAGGATGTCCTCAGCTCCCAACCTCCACACCTGCTTTTACATTAAAGATAGCATTAAAAAAATAGGGGTCAAGGGCTGGCCAGGTAGCTCCTTTGGTTAGAGTGTCATCCCAATACACCAGTGGTTCTCAACCTTCCTAATGCCGCGACCCTTTAATACAGTTCCTCATGTTGTGGTGACCGCCAACCATAAAATTATTTTCGTTGCTACTTCATCACTGTAATTTTGCTACTGTTATGAATCGTAATGTAAATATCTGATATGCAGGATGTATTTTTATTGTTACAAATTGAACATAATGAAAGCATAGTGATTAATCACAAAAACAATATGTAATCATATATGTGTTTTCCGATGGTCTTAGGCGACCCCTGTGAAAGAAAGGGTCGTTCGACCCCCAAAGGGGTCGAGACCCACAGGTTGAGAACCGTTGTAATACACCAAGGTTGCGGGTTCGATCTCTGGTCAGGGTACATACAAGAAGCAACCAATGGTCCTAACCGGTTTGGCTCAGTGGATAGAGCGTCGGCCTGCGGACTGAAGGGTCCCAGGTTCGATTCCGGTCAGGGGCATGTACCTTGGTTGTGGGCATATCCCCAGTGGGGGGTGTGTAGGAGGCAGCTGATCGATGTTTCTCTCTCATCGATGTTTCTGACTCTCTATCCCTCTCCCTTCCTCTCTGTAAAAAATCAATAAAATATTTTAAAAAAAAGAAGAAGAAGCAACCAATGAATGCATAGATGAGTGGAACAACAAATCAATTTCTCTCTCTTAAATAAATAAATAAATAATTTTTTGTCGTGATATGTTCTGCACAGTGCTGAGATCCCAGAAAACCTCAGCATATTGTTCTTGGATTCCCAGAGAAATAACCTGGAGGACTGGCTGTGAAAGACGTGGGTTTATTCGAAGTTACATGCGCACCGGTGGTGACAGACTGCTGAAGTTTACTGCCATACTGGCTGCCACAGGTGAAGTTGAACCACCAGTCCCACCCAGCCTGCAGACAGGGAAACTGGGGACAGCCCGCCAGTGCTATTGTTTCACCACCACCCAGACTTTCCCAACACAAAGTTTCATGGAGCACAGAAAACAGAGAAAAAACAAGGCATGCAGGGCAGGGGGACTGGTGCAGTGTGAGATCAGCACGTTGCTTTCCTGAATGAGGAGCTGGCCAGGTTCCCAAGGTCTCCCAGTGCCTTACTGATGGCCTTCATCCTCCTCCCACGGGATGGGAGGGGGGGCTGGAGCATGGGAAGGGCCCACGCTCCTATTCACCGTACATGGTAAAGCAGACATAACATAACCTATACCAGTTTAGCCACATTAAGTGCCCATGTCAGAGGCAATAGAACATTCAGATTGGTGTGCAATCATCCCACCATTCATTCCCAGGACGCTTTTCATCTTCCCAAACTGAAACTGTGTCCCCATTAAACACTAACTACCCTCCCTCCCTCCTTCCAGCTTCTGGAAACCACCATTCTCCTTTTTGTCTCTGTGGCTTTGCCTTTCCTTAGGTACTCTGTATAAGTAGAATCATATAATATTTGTGGGTCTAGCTTCTTGCACTTAGCATAATGCTTCATGGTTCATCAACATTGTAGTATGTGTTAGAGTTTCAATTCAAGAGAGCATGTTTTACACATTCTTCTGCACCCTGCCTTTTTCTTTCCACTTAACAGATGCCAGAGATCTCCCCTTACCGAACTCCCTTTAGGCACCCATTATTTTTCTACAGCCGCATAATGTTCTGCTGTGTGGATGCCCCAGAGTTAATTTTACTCCCGGAAACTGATATTTCTCATCTGTTTGTTCTTAGGCTAACATGGCAGTGAAGAACTTCGTAAAAACGTCATTTCACACACATGCAAGTGTGTCTGTAGATAAATTCCCCAAAGTGAGACTTCTAGCTCAAAGACTGTGTGCATTTATAATTTTTACAGATATTATCAAATTGATCCCTTTGCGGGTTAGATTAATTCATATTCCCTCCAGCAATGGCTAAGGGTCTTGTTTCTTTACAGCCTCACCAACAGAGTGTATATCAACCTTTGGACTTGGGCCAACATGAAGTGAAAAATGGTATTTCAGAGTAGAGAAAATTTGCATTTCCCTCGCCACAAATGAGGCAGAATATATTTCCATGTGTTTAAGAGTGATTTATGGGCCCTAGTCGAGTAGCTCAATTGGGTAAAGCCTCATCCCAATACGCCAAGGCTTAGATTGTGGGTTCAATTCCTGCTCAGGACACATACAAGAATTAACCAATGGCCAGGCCGTTGAGGGTCAACCCATGAACCAGGAAGTCAGGGTTCAATTCCTGGTCAGGGCACATACCTGTGTTTTAAGCTCGATCCCCAGTAGGGGGTGTGCAGGAGACAGCCAATCAATTATTCTTTATCATCATTGCTGTTTCTATCCCTCTCTCCCTCTCCCTTCCCCTCTCTGGAATCAATTTTTTAAAACGAGCTATTTATAGTTCTTTCCTGCCAATTATTCTTTGGATTGTTGGTCTTTTTCTTCTTGATTTGTAGGAGTTCTTTATATATTCAGGAGATTTACCACCTGGTTATGAAATGAGTTGTAAATATTTTTCCTAGTTTGTCATTTCTCCAAACTTTTGAATTAATGACCATGAGCATTTATTGAGGATTTGATGCATGCCCGCTTTTGTACTAGGTTTTTTAATCACACATTTCAAGCTTACTGGCATAGCTTTTCATCTCTAATGTCTATAGAATGCATCTCTGAAAAATAAGGACATTTTTCTACATAATCACACAACTATTTTCACATCTAAGAAAACATACACTCATTCTTTAGTCCCATCTTATACCAGGCACATATTCAAATTTCCCTGAGTCTCTGTCTTTTTAGTGTGCTTAGAGCACCACTGGCCAATAGACCTTTCTGTGGTGGCAGGAATGTCCCATTATCTGTGCTTTCTAATGTAGTAGCCATTAGCTACATAGAGCTTTTGAATGTTTGAAAAGTATTCAGTGAAAATAAGAAACTGAATTGTTCATTGCCTTTTATTTTAGTTACTTTTAGTTTTTTTAAATATATTTTTATTGATTTCAGAGAGGAAGGGAGAGGGGGAGAGATAGAAACAACGAGAGAGAATCATTGATTGGCTGCCTCCTGCACGCCCCCCCACTGGAGATCGAGCCCACAATTTGGACATGTGCCCTTGACCAGAATCGAGCCCGGGACCCTTCAGTCCGAAGGCTGACGCTCTATCCACTGAGCCAAACCAGCTAGGGCCTTATTTCATTTTTCTAGTCCCCTAGGGGATGGACACGTATTGTTTCCAACTTCCTACCTCAATGAACATTCATTTTTCTTCTTCTTTTAAAATATAGTTTTATTTATTTCAGAGAGGAAGGGAGAGGGAGAGAGATAGAAACATCAATGATGAGAGAGAATCATTGATCAGCTGCCTCCTACACGCCCCCTACTGGGGATCGAGCCTGCAACCAGAGCATATGCCCTTGACTGGAATCGAACCCAGGACCCTTCAGTCCGCAGGCCGACGCTCTACCCACTGAGCCAAACCAGTCAGGAGCCTGGGTTTTTTCTTAACTTCTTACTTTCAACTACCAATGTTTCCAGGAAGGAATTGATCGAGAACCGCTTCCAATGGTACATAAATGTGTGTGTCTTTCATTTTCAAATTGAGGTTTAACATACATACATGTACAGATCTTGCCCGGCTGGAGTGGCTCAGTTGGCTGAGCATCGTCCTGTGCATTGAAAGGACAGTGCAGTTCCTGGCAAGGGCACACACCTGGGTTTCAGGTTCAGTCCCAGTTGGGGCATGTCCGGAAGGCAACCGATGGATGCTTCTTACTCTCTTTTTCTCCCTTTCTCCAAGCATGTCCTCTGGTGAGGATTAAAATAAATAAATGAATGCACAGATCTTTAATGAAAAGCTGAGGACATTTTTAGATCTGTACATTCATGCAACTATCATTAGATAAAAATATAGAACATTTCTAGCCCCAAGTTGGCTTTCCTGCCATGAAGACTTATAATGAACTGCGCCCTCTTGCAACCTGGGACCCCTGGAGGATGTCGGAGAGCTGGTTTTGGCCTGATCCCCGCAGGCCAGGCTGAGAGACCCCACAGGTACACAACTGGCTGGGGAGGAACCGCGGGAGAGCTCCAGGGCATGTCCAACCTGTCTTGCCCAGTCCCGATTGGCCTGGACCCCAGCAGCAAGCTAACCTACTGGTCGGAGCGTCTGCCCCCTGGTGGTCAGCGCATGTCATAGTGACTGGTGAAACGGTCGAACGAACGGTCAGACACTTAGCATATTGGGCTTTTATTATATAGGATATTTGTGATTGCAGAAATTATTTCCAGGCATGGTGGTGCCCATCTTGGGGTTCATAGACTTCAGGAAGATGGGAAAATTGGTGAGAGGTGGAAACAGGGCTTCTAGGTCTCCCCTCCCACCTGGTTGACCCTAGGAGCCAACTCCTCTCACAGAAGCAGCTGCAGGGACTGGACAACTTGCTTTGCCAACTGGGATGGATCCCAGGCACCTCCCGCCTAGAAGACTCATTAATTGTTGGGGGGACTTGTGTGGTCTGAGGCTCAGCTGGCATTTCCAGGCAGACTGGGGCTGCCGCTTCTCCTCTTCCATCGAGGGGCACACCAGGGGCAACAAAGCACATTGGAAAGTCCCAGAAAATGAGACAGGCTGTCTGGGCTCTGGTGCCTCCAGCTCTGAGACTCTGGGGAGCTCCTTCACCCTCTGAGCCTCTGCTCACCTGTGCAGGCTTATTGGGAGTGTTTCATCTAGCTACATTACCTCTCTGACCTCACCTGCTGGGGCTTTCCTCTTTGCTCATTTTGCTTCAGCCAGATGTTTGCTCAAGCAACCTCAGTACTTGAGTTCTGGCTAAGAAAGCATTCAGAGCCAAGATTCAAATACAAGGAAAAGTTTATTTAGCAAGTCACAGATGTTGAACAAGTGAGCCCGAAGAAGTGAGCTGCATGCGCTCAGGGAACAAGTTGCAAAGCCAAAAGGGCCCTTGGAGCTTAGGAGAAAGAGAGAGGCAAGGAAAAGGAGCCTGAGGGAAGCGGGTGGGGGAAGACACAGTAGTGCTCCATAGAGAGTTGCCTACTGCCCCCCCGTCCTCATCTTGAGGGTGTTTACCTGGAAGTCTCAGGGGAGGATCCCAATAGAACAGTCATCAGCTTTCCAGGTGTGTACTTTCCGGGTCCTGGTCTCTGATTGGTTGGCCCCAGGGCAGGGGTCATCAGTCCATGCTGCTGGTCCTGAGTCAGCCAAGGCATCGCTTGTGGCTTGTCTTGTTTTGCTGCTTTTCTGGGCCTGGAGCTGAAACACAACTAAGGTCTAGATGTATTTGACGCCGGTGGCAACCTCATTGTCCTGGGGGCTTAACGATTAAGGGCTATTTTCCAGCTCCCTTGTTCATTCCCCCCCTAAGGGGACCTAACCCTCATGACTAGCAACATGCCAGAGGAGGAAAGGTCAGGGAAGGGTCCAAACCACGGGACCAGCAATAGGAAAGGTCAGGGGGTCTAAACCTGCATGGCGGCTGATATACCAGGGGAGGAAAGGTTATCCTGTGGGGAGGTCCTTGTTTTCCCAGTTTTGCTGGTTGCTAGGCACTTGAGGCTTTCAGCCCTGGTGACCCTCTGTACCTGGCCTATCACCCTTGCTCTGCCCAAGCCTGTCTAACTGCCTAACAACCCTGCTCAGGTGACATAGACTACAGCATCCTCTCTCTCTTCCCGCACACCCTCTAATGTTTCTACAGCCTTTATAAACTAACTTTATGTACTAATTTCACTGATAACTGTGTCTCCCCTGGTAGAATGTGAACTCTAAGTACTTATCTGCTTTCACTTTACAGCCTGTGCCTTGCAAGGAGGAAGTGTAACACTGGTTGAACTAGGAAACCGAAGCCACTTTTTGTCCCACAACAGAACTAGAATTGGAACCTCGGGCTCTAAGCCTTTGCCTTCTTTTTCCTCCTCCTTTTATCTCAAAAAAGACTAGGGCACAAAATTTAATGGGGTGTCAAAAAACTCAATAATTATTGTTTTCAAAAATCAAGATTAATGCAAAAAAGATGCTCAAAATATATATTTTTAAAGTAAGACATGAGCTGACCCTGCACTTGCATGACTCATCTCACCCTAATCCCAGTAGTTTTTATTTAAAGTTTTTGTATTTTGTTCATCATGGATTTATTTTTCCCATTAATTTTGATATTTATTTTAAATATATTTTTATTGATTTCAGAGAGGGAGAGGGAGAGAGAGAGAGAGAGATCAATGACGAGAATCACCCATCAGCCTCCTGCACGTCTCATACTGGGGTTCGAGCCCGCAACCGGGCATGTGCCCTAACCAGGAATTGAACCGTGACCTCCATGCCATGCCAGCCAGGCTAATTTTGAACTTTTAAAAATATTGTATTAAAATATTTATCGTGATGGTTGAGTTGCTGCACCCAAAGAGCTCACCAGTCTGTCTTTTCTTCTCTCTCCTGGGGAAAACCGGCACCGACGCCGGGGCGGTGCGGAGCTCTGCTAAGCGGCGGAGCTCCCCCCACCCCCGCCCGCCGGCCCCGGTGAAGAAGGGGCGGGAGCTGACCTTTGCTTATCACCCGCGTGGAAACATCCAATTAAGTCCCCCGCCCGCGGGAGACCTTTCCCTGGGCGGCCCGCGCCTCCCGAGGCGCTGAGATAGCCGTGGTAGCCCCGGCCTCGGTGACCTTTACGGGGCTGGGAGGAGGGAGCGGGCAAGGCGGCCACGCGTCTGGCCGGTCCGGGCGGAGATGCCACGGGTTGGGTCGCTCCCGGGACGGTATCGGCTGGGCGCTGGGACCTGGGATTGAACCTGGCCTCGGTTCCCCAAGTCTATCTCATCGTCAGCGGGCGAGGGGGAGAGGGAAAGAGCCCCCCGTGACGTAATCGAACCCCGAGTCCGGCCTCCGCCGCTAGCGTCACAGACGAGCAGCGCTGCGTCACCGCATTCCTCTCGTGACTTTAGTGCGGGAGGCCATGAACGGGCCCACGGGGGAAAGGAGACGTCTGAAGAGAGCGCTCTCTTCTTCCTCACCCTTGTATTTGGTAAGACGTTTATAGTACACAGGAGCGGACTACCACTCCCAGCTAGCCTTGCGTGCTGCGCATGCTCGCGGCCTCCAGTTAGAGAGCGCGGCAAACCTTTAGGGGAGATTGACGTCCTTTTAGTCAAAACAGAGGGCAGTTTTACAGCCGCAAGCCATAGGCCCCACCCCTTGATTCTTAGCCGCTGCTTCCTTGCGGGAATGATGGGCTCTGCTGCCTTTGAGGGTTCAGTTTCCTTTGATGGACATTCCTGCCGATTAATCAGATCGCCGGAAAGTCAAGAGGGTGTTGAAAAGCGTGCTTTAGGACCAATAGCTTAGCAGCAGGGCCCAGCACTGTCCAATCACTCCTCCCGGCGTCGCCAATCACCCGGGACCCCGCCCTTGCCCGTGACGTAAGTAGGGTGGGTAGCAACAGTTGCCCCGGTGAGGGAAACGGAGGCGCCATAGCCACGGTAGTCGTGGCGACCAAGCAACCCGGCAACGCGAGTCAACAACAACAACCGCCCGGCCGACCCCCACCCCCACCCCGATCCCCGACCCGGCCCGGGGACCCCGGCACGTTCTGTCCCCCTCCCAACATCGCCTCCGAGACCTCTGGAAAGCCCTTCTGCGGACAGAAGTGGGGAGAAGCCAAGGTAACCCGGACGGCCGGGTGGCGGGCCGGGGAGGACGGCGGGGCTCCGGCGGCGGGTGTCGCTGTAATCATAGTCCCGGGGGAAGGGGCGGACGGTCAAAATGGCGGCGACAGTCGGGGCCGTGGGGGAGGGGGGCCGGGGCCCAGCTGGGGCGACACCACCCGCCCTAGGCCCCGCGGCCCGGCCCCCGCGAGGGGCGGGCGCTCGCTGGCCCACGGCGAGCGGAGGTCGACGGGCCCCAGCGGGGGGCTTTTATATATTAGGAGGTGTGGAGGGGCGGGTCTGGGGAGGTTGGGCCAATAGGAGCTAAGGAGGGGCGAGGCGGGGCCGAGGTCGGTGGGCGGGGCCAAGCCTTAAGGTGTAGGCGGGGCCGTCCTGTGCACCCTGGAACCGGGTGGGGCAGCTGTCGCGGGGCCTAACCGCTCTCCCAAGCGGTGGTAGGCCACCTGTGCCTTTTCTGTTTAGCACCCCCGCTAGTTGTCCCCAGGACTCAGTGCCAGCCATAGCTGCTGAGTCCTCAGTTTTTCATCCTGTAAAATGGGCAGAACCCCCCCCTTTTTTTTGCATTTCAAGGATTCCTAATTCTTTTCATGACTTTCTCTAGGGTTCATCTTTGAACTTTTACCCCATCTACTGTTTCTGAATGTGTTTGATAGATTAACTATTAGCTAGTTTCAATTTCAACCCTGCAGTTTCCTCCGAAATCTGCCTTCTCTCTGAGAGGAGGCAAAGTTTCAGGGAGAAGCTGTGGGCTGGGAGTATGGCTTTAGCCTGGAAGATTTGATTTGCAAAAATCGAAGCTGATGGTAGGGAAGAGTGATCTTGAATGCGTTAGAGGAACAGAAACTTGATTGCTTCTCTGGGGGCTGCTGTCTTAGACCAGGTGGGACCATTCCTAGCTGTCCTGCCCATCCTGGTCTCCCTTTCTGGGAACGGGTAGCAAATGGTGCCTGAGGAAGTTTCTTAGATTTATTACGCTTCTTCTCTTGGCGAGACACATGTTTTTGTGTCAGTCAAGTTGGTGTCAGTTGGGTCACATGTTACTGAGGAGGTACCAGCCTCAGGGCCACGTGGGCAGGAGGGAGCGGTCACTGAGGTCAGAGGGAAGGGGAAGTGAGTGTTCCACATTTGTTAGAGGAGAATCGAGGGACTGCTTTGCCAGACGACAAGAGCTGCCAGCTTCGGGAAGAATTTTTTTTTAAGCCAGCCAGGCCAAGTCCACTTTCCCTAGCCTCCATCTTGCTTTGGAGTTTAACATCAGCAGAGCTGAGTGGCTATGTGCAAACTGCCACTTCTTTTTTAAATCTTTTTTAATAGGTTTTTATTGATTTTTCATTTTTTTTAAATATATTTTATTGATTTTTTACAGAGAGGAAGGGAGAGGGATAGAGAGTTAGAAACATTGATGAAAGAGAAACATCGATCAGCTGCCTCCTGCACACTCCCCACTGGGTATGTGCCCACAACCAAGGTACATGCCCTTGACTGGAGTCGAACTTGGGACCCTTGAGTCCGCAGGCCGACGCTCTATCCACTGAGCCAAATTGGCTAGGGCTGATTTTTCATTTTTTTAAGAGAGGAAGGAAGAGGGGGAGAGAGAGAAACATCAATCGGCTGCCTCCCATCGGCACTCCAACTGGGGTTCAAACCCGAAACCTAGGATGTGCCCTGACTGGAAATCGAACCAGTGAGTTTTTGGTGCACAGGATGACGCTCACCACACTGAGCCATACCAGCCAGGGCCAAACTGCCACTTTTAAAATCAATCAAACTTCAAAGAGAAGGATCGAATTTCAGGCTCTCCCAAAGCTCCTCCCCCGCCCCCCACCCCGAGAATTTAAGATAAGGCTAGGGCAGGGGGTTCACTTCTGCAGGGAATTTTCCTAGGCCAGGCCCTCTGAGAGTTGGTGTAAGACCCCTTGAAGGTTAGAAAATTTTCAGTAAAAATCTAGAAATAACCAAATTGCCAGAAAGATCACCATCTATTAGAAAAGCAAATTTTGAGCAGAAAGAGATGATTCTGATTATCTACTCTTGACTGTCACCCACCTCCCATAACTTTACATTTATTTTTTAAATATATACTTTTATTGATTTCAGAGAGGAAGGAAGAGGGAGAGAGAGATAGAAACATCAATGATGAGAGAGAATCATTGATCAGCTGCCTCCTGTACACTCCCCACTGGGGATTGAGCCCACAACCTGGGCATGTGCCCTGACCGGAACTCGAACCTGTGACTCCTGGTTATAGGTCGACACTCAACCACTGGAGCATGCTGGCTGGGCAACTTTTACATTTAAAGGGCTCAAGCTCAGAGGAGTCATTTGACTATGGTAGGAACCACTGGATTGGTTTGGCTTGTCCTTGAAACAATCAATTTGCTTTCTAGCTTTGCTCGTGGGCAAGATACTTAACTTCTCTGGGCTCCAGTTTCCTCCTGTCTGAGCTGGGGGGCAGTGATCATTGGGAATGATTTTAATCTCATGTTACTGTGCTGTGGGTTCCATGAGAGATTACAAGTTGAGCATCAAATACACAGTAATTGCTCAAATTATGTTAGCTGTTACTGTTATGATTGTCACTTCCTGCTCAGCCCTCAGAATTACACTGTTTGCATTTATTTTTATTGTTTTGAATGGGGTGAGAGCCTAGTGGCTTGAAAGGTTGATTCGCTTGCTGGCCTGTGGGGCTGGTGACAGGGATCTCAGGAGCTGGATGCCAGGACTACTCTCCTAAGGCCCTTCTCTGGCTTTAGGAGAGTAGCCAGAAAGAAAAATTGTCCCTGGCCCCGGGCCCCCACTCAACCCCAAGCTTTCCAGGAGTCACCCCCGTGTGGATATCATGGGAAGGGTATTCCTGGAGCTGAGGTCCTTGCCCTCCCCTCCCCATACACCCCCTAGCATTTTGGGGCTGAGGATAGAGGATGGGCCAGGCACCAGGAGCGTGGCCTGCAGGTAACAACCGCACAGTATATGTTCTTCCTGATCTAGGGGCTCATTCTGGACCAGGAGGCATCATCCACCTGTGTAACACAAGCCTGCTGCTGGCAGAAGGCAGTAACTTTTTCTTTTTCTTTCTTTCTTTTTTTTTTTTTAGAGAAAGTAGAAGGAGAGAAGGAGGGGGAGAGAGACAGATAGACAGACATCAATGTGTCCATGGTTTGGTTGCCTCCTGCATGCACCCTGATCGGGGCTAAGGAGTGAACTCAAAACCTAGATATATGCCCTTGACCGGGAATTAAACCCATAACCCTCCAGTGCTCTGGCTGATGCTCTAACTGCAGAGCCCCACTGGCCAGGGCAGCAATAACTTTTTCACAAAGTCTCACCAATTAGTAAATTCTAACCGGCTTTTCTTTTTTTTTAAAAAAAATATATTTTATTGATTTTTTACAGAGAGGAAGGGAGAGGGATAGAGAGTTAGAAACATCGATGAGAGAGAAACATTGATGAGCTGCCTCCTGCACGCCCCGTACTGGGGATGTGCCCAAAACCAAGGTACAAGCCCTTGACCGGAATCGAACCTGGGACCTTTCAGTCCGCAGACCGACGCTCTATCCACTGAGCCAAACCAGCCAGGGCTCTAACTGGCTTTTGACATTCACTAGCAGTGTGTCCCCAGCCCACGGACACTCACTTGACAGTAAAAGTTAAGCCCCCACTGTGGTCTAGGAGCTGGGGTTGGAGTGATGGACAAGGTTGGCAAGATCTCTGCCCTTGGTGTTATGAGGGAAGAGCAATTATGAGTAAGGAAATAAACAAACAGAGAAATACAGGGCTAGGAATCAAAAAACAGGAGTATGTGTTCCAGAGTGCTAGGGGGAGGGAGACTTGAAATATAAGAAGGTGACAAATGAGCTGGGACCTGAATGAAAAAAAGGAGCCAATGATGGAGGTGGAGGTGAGGAGAGCATACTTATAGGGCAGTGATGGCGAACCTTTTGAGCTCGGCATGTCAGCATTTTGAAAAACCCTAACTTAACTCTGGTGCCGTGTCACATATAGAAGTTTTTTTATATTTGCAGCCATAGTAAAACAAAGATTTATATTTTTGATATTTATTTTATATATTTAAATGCCATTTAACAAAGAAAAATCAACCAAAAAAATGAGTTCGCGTGTCACCTCTGACACTCGTGTCATAGGTTCGCCATCACTGTTATAGGGGGAAGAGCTGGTGCAAAAGTCTTGAAGCTGGAGGATGGCTAGAGCATTTTAGGAATGAGAGATATTGTGGCTAAAACATCCAGAGTGAGAAAGGCAGGGGCTAGAGGGGCAGATCCCACAGGACCCTGTAAGTCATGGGAAGGGCTCTGAATTTTACTTATTCTCTGTGATGGGGAGCCTTGGAGTCTTCTGAATAGTGTTTGTATTTTCAAGGGATCTTACAGATTATAGAGGTAAGAGTGAAGCCAGGAGCTAGTGACAAGGCTGTGGCAGGGATCCAGGCAAGAGATGATGGCAGCTCAGACTTGCATGGTGTTGACGAAGATGGAGAGAAGTGCCCAGCCTTAGGATATATTTTGGAAGAATTATTGACAAGTCTTAGAAATTAACGGAGTATAGAGAATGAGGGAAACCTACATCATTATAGTTAATTTCCCCATCCCCTGTAAGTTCCTTATTGAAGCCATTCTATAGATGAGGAGGGTGAGTTTTCTTTCCCTTTCCTTGGAAGGGCCTCATCTAAGATGTAAAACATTTGGTT